ATTTGGGCTAGACTGCTGTTGATGGTTTGTACTTTTATTGATAAGATCTATTGGCAAGCTTCTCACTGCAAGTCGTGACCTACTGGTTAGAGAGTCGGACTTGTAACCCAAAAGGTTGTGGGGTTCGAGTCTTGTACCGGCAGGGATTGTAGGTAGGGGGAGTGAATGTACAGCGCTCTCTTCTACCTTCAATACCACGACTGAGGTGCCCTTGAGCAAGGCACCGAACCCCCAACTGCTCCCCGGGCGCCGCAGCAAAAAAATGGCTGCCCACTGCTCCGTGTGTGTGTTCACGGTGTGTGTGTGTGCACTTTGGATGGGATAAATACAGAGCACTAATTCCGAGTATGGGTCACCATACTTGGCCACATGTCCCTTCACTCACTCACAAAAAGTCGTGACAGAATGTGTTTTTTATTTACATTTATTCATTTGGCATGCAGTCTTTTTAATCCAAAGTATTCAACTACATCTTTTATTCCCTGGATATGAGACCATTTTTGATCTTCAGTTCCTCTGGCCTGCTGGAGTCTGCTTTTGAAGTCAAACCAACTGTCCGTGTTTCATCAGATCCCGAAGAAGCATTCACCAAGTTCAATTGCTCAAAAAGGCCCCATCAGCAAGCCTTGTCCGCTTCAATTAGCGAAGAGTGGCATCGACCCCTTTGTTAGTGGGCAAGGTGTCCGGAACTTTTGTCTGAGAGCATGGAACCCAGACTGAGACTAGACAGGCAGTGCTGCAGATTTACACTGCAGATTAGGCCAGTCAAAACCTGCTCAGCTCTGAACAGAGCTCAAGTTTGGATAGTGTCCCTGTGTTTATACTGTAAAGGGTTTTCTGTTACTGGTCTGTTGCCATTATCTGGCCACTGCTCTTCAAGCTGATTGTTTCCATTCATTCTTTCAGAGTGGGTGAGAGGGAAAGAGAAAACTCGTTGAATAAAAGGTGGCTTTGGCTTTGCTATCTGACTGTGGATTCTTGGGTTACTATTATAAACCACATAAAATTACTGGTGAAGAGTTAGACATGGCATTTATTGATCTCAACTCTCTAGTTTGTTACAACAGGATCTTAAAAAAGAGACATTGTGGCTATTGATACTGCTCAATCTTGAGATAATTACATGTAATAACTACTTTTTGTTCACATTAACACCTACTTATTTTGAATGACTAATATTCAAAGGAGATCAGAGTGGCAAAGAGGAATTATTATGAAAAACTAAGGACTCAGTTCACTTCCAGCAACTCAGCATCAGTGTGGAAAGGTCTGAAAGAGATCACCAACTACAAGACACCATCCCCCAGCACTGTGGAGAATCAACAACTGGCAGACGATCTGAACGAGTTCTACTGCAGGTTTGAAAAAAACACCATTAACACCTCCTGCAACCCCCCTCTCCCCCACATCTGCACTTCAAATCAGTGAAGACGAGGTGCGCCAGGTCTTCCGGAAGCAGAAAAGGAAAAAAGCACCAGGCCCAGATTGTGTGACACCAGCCTGTCTGAAATCCTGTGCTGACCAGCTGGCCCCCATCTTCACACAGATCTTCAACAGATCACTGGAGCTGTGCGAAGTCCCTTCATGCTTAAAGCGCTCCTCCATCATCCCCATCCCAAAGAAATCCAAAATTACAGGACTAAATGACTACAGGCCTGTGGCTCTAACGTCTGTGGTCATGAAGTCATTTGAAAAACTGGTGCTGGCCCACCTGAAGGACATTACTGGACCCTTGCTGGATCCTCTTCAGTTTGCCTACAGAGCAAACAGGTCTGTGGACGATGCAGTCAACATGGGACTGCATTATGTTCTGCAACATCTAGACAGACCAGGGACTTACGTGAGGATCCTGTTTGCCTGTTTGTGCTCAGCGTTTAACATTATCATCCCAAACCTCCTCCTGCCCAAACTAACTCAG